TGTTCTGATGTGCAGTGTTCTATAGCATCGTTTTGAGGGTAGGAGTTGAAACAATTTATGTCCAGGATGTGAGGGATCTGTAAATATTTTAATGACCCTCTTTTTGACTCGTGCAGGGTACAGGTCCTCAGGGGAAGGCAGGTTGGTAGCAAGTGTTTTTTCTGCAGTTCTAATTATCCTCTGAAGTCTGTGTCTGTCTTGTTGGGTTGCAGAACCAAACCAGACAGTTGTAGAGGTGCAGATGACAGACTCAATAATTCCTCTGTAGAATTATATCAGCAGCTCCTTGGATATAGTGGAATGGCAACTCTCAAAGTCAGAGTGGCTGTGCTGGATGGGAACTACAATCTAAATGTAGTTGAGAGACAATCTGTTGAATCTCTCCATGGAATGATGTCGGCAATTGGAATGGCTGCCTTATGTATTTTCTTTCTCTAGGTGATGCGCCAGTTTGTAAGACATGAATCTGAGGTCTCAACCACCCTAGAAAGATGTGAGTAGCTTCTCAAGGGACAAAGAATGGCTTCTTAGGGTCCTGTGGTAGCAATGCATCTTTTGTGCATTCTTCTTTACCATTTGCTGTTGATGTTTTGTCTAGCTTTAAATCGTATCCAACTGCTTGGTCGAGTAGGACAGGATCCAGTCATGAGACAAATGGAAGGAAAAAATCCTGTCACAATTTTCAGCCTAGCCACCAATGAGATGTGGCGATCGGGAGACAGCGAAGTGGTTCAAGGAGGTAAGTATGTGTAGCAATAGCTTGTTGACCATTTCGGTATTAAACTGAACTATGTATGGACTCAGTCTCCTTTGAGACTGCATTGTCGAAAGTTAGCACCCGCCCCTCTCCTAGAAGAATGAAATATTTTGGGAAATACTAAAAAGGAAAGAATATTATATTTCCCTAAATGAGAAATGGAGAAACAAGTTTTTAAAAGATAGAAAGCAGACTCAAATCTCCCTGCCCCAGCAGATACTGTGGCCAGCTTTTAGAAATGCAGATTTGGTAATCCATTCAAGACATGATATTTTGAAACAAAGGCAGAATGATAGGATTAGCCCTCACTCAAGATCCAACACAGGAAAAAGCCATTAAGCCAGCAATAGGACTTATTGCATCACCCTCAGAGCAGTCCAAACTTCAACCAAACGTAGCTCAGACAACCATCTAGGATTTGTACTTTGCCTGTAGAGCCAGCTATGACCCCTACACAATCCCTACATGGGAGTCTGACAACAGCCAATAGAATGCATGTTCTTGCACAGGAAGCTCAAATACAAAGCCCAAAAGAAGGTATAAAAGCCACCCCACTCTCAACTCCATTTTGGTCAGCTGCATCAGAACCACAAACCCGATTGTAGCAGGAAAATAAGGAGAGTATATTTCTTCTTCCAGTAGGGATAATTAAATGCCTTGCCATCTTGGAACGTTCTCCAAATGGGATTTCTCCTAGATTCTTGGGCTCAAAATTACATATAATCACAATTCTCTCAATTCTTAACTTTTAAAGTTCATTTTAACACCTTCTCTTCCAATCACCTGCTAATGGTTTTCATAGTCTTGGAATCTTGTCCTAGCAACCAACTGGTAAAGCTGATTGTATAGTGCAGTGATGGCTAATCTTTTTCTAAAGGTGTGCCCGCCCACCCAAGCATGGGCGAGTGACACCCACCCACCTGCGCATGTGCGTGCAGCCTCTCCTGCGCAAGCGTGAGCAGGATCTCTGGTTGTTGCTAAAAAAAATCTTTTCTATGTTTTATGTGATCTAGATGATGTTACGCAGAAGACTACATGGCACAGAATCTCCGTATTCAGGCCGGGGCTGAGAGACTTAGCTTATCGGTTTGTGAAGAAAGGGTAAGTTGAACTGAGATGCAGATGCTGGGTGAACTTTTTCCAACATGCTTCGTTCTAATAAGAGTTTATTTCTAGCATTCCAGGTTCACAAATCATGTTGTGCTTAATGCTGCCTGGGAGGAGCTGGCCTTTCTTGAAACTCTAATCATCTTCCCAGTGATAAAAGGGTGGCTTTATCTTATTTATTTTTAATATGCTGTTTTCTATGGTACTCTGGTCCTTGGTACTTCTCTGTGTGCTGGAGCCAGATTTGCCCAATTGTCTGGGCAAAAATGAACAGCTTAGGAGAGATGCATTTTCTTTTAGCTTAGCTGGCTGAGGAATTCTGGGAGTTGAAGTCCACCCACCTTAAAGTTGCCAAGGTTGAGAAACAAGGGTTTTTTTTCTTATGGGGAGGGTGGTAAGAGGAAAAATTAGGCCACAGCTCTCTATCATTTTTTTTAAATACTCCTTAGGGAAAAAGTTAGGAAAGTAGGTGGATGCACATGGTTTGTTGTGGGCCCGATATAATTATTTTGGCAGTCCCTTATGCCAAACTCAACCTTGGCAACAATTAAAATCCTCTTCTCGGATCTTCTGTAATTCATGTACAGTAATTAACATATAAGCAGCATGTACTGATGGGAGCAGTTAAATACTGATTTGATTACAAGAAAGTAAGTCTCCAATTAAAGGTGAAGGCCTAAGTTTTACAAGATTTGAAACTTACTTAGTTCAGCAAGAGATTTTAAAGCAAATATCCCCAAATTCAGAGAGTGCTAACCCTAGCATATTTCAAAATATGTTCAACAGCCGTCCTTGGAGGAAAATCATTTATTCTTTTAAAACTCTCATAGTTGATAGGAGTAGTTGAAAATACAAACCATGCATAGATAATTGTGTTGCTCGTTTTATAAAAATGCCCAGCTACATTTTGTTTCTGCAATTAATTAAATTCCTAAACAGTTTAAATTTCTGTTAAGTGCCATTGCTGGTAGTCACCCAGTATAATTGAATTTCTTTGAATTAGCTAAATTTTGTTTTATTGTATGTAAAACCTATTGTAACCAATTGCTTTTTTGTTACTGTTTAGGTTCTTTTATTTTGTAACTTTTAATGTTTACCTTCAAGTGAGATTCTGGTTCTTGACCATAATAAAGAGCTGGGAGCCAGTTTGGCCTAGTGCAGGGATGTCAAATGGCGGCCCGTGGACTGCATACCTCACATGCAGGCCACACCCACCCAAGCTCTGCGAATGGGAAAACCGTTGCAAAACACATGATGCAGCGAGTTTGACACCCATGGTCTAGTAGTTAAGACATCAGGCTAGACAGCTGGAGACTGAGTTCAAGTCCCACCTTAGCCATGAAAGGCTGTTGGGTCACACCTCACACCTGTGAGGAAAATAGAAGGAGTAAGGAGTATTGTGTGTTGAGTTTATTTGTAGAAATAATAAAGGTGGAATATGAATAAATATAGGAAAATACAGAAAAAAAGAATGAAAATTGAGGGCTGCAATTAATATGCTATTATTTGTATGTTTGGTTCTTGACAGTGCTCGGCTCTACGTGGAAGGAAAGATAGATTATGGCGAATATACAGATAAAAACAATGTGAGGCGGCAAGCCACAACTGTCATTGCAGGTAAAAAGTTTTGAAAATGCGGGTTGTGAAAGTGCAGACGGATGTTAAATTCACAGAGGACCAGGCCATACTTGAATGCCCATTTCTTCCACTAGATGTCTCTCTTGGATGCTCTTCTTTAAAAAGTCTGTAGGAGCACAAAGTTCTTAATGCAATGTTCCTTCTTAAATTGCAGCCCTCATCCTCCCCTACCACGTTGGGTTGTAGACTATGGGGGTGGAAGCTGAACATATCTGAGAGATACAAGGCTGGCAAGATTGTTTGTCTGAGAACTGACAAACAACTCGCTTTCTATCTTGCAAAGAATGACCACCTTGTGTTTGCTTTGTAAGGGAAAGTAAGCTATGGCTAAAAGTTCAGATACAGGCATGTAGCAGGAAATACTTGAATGGCTGGCTGGGCCATTGATTCCTCTTCCTGCATTTTCTCTCTGCTGGGCTTAGTGTTACAAGAGAAAGACTTTAAAAGCAGGAGAAGGAAGCAAGCTTATTAAAAAATATATTGAATATTTTTACAAAGTTAAAAGCTACAAAAAACGTTTAAAAAATTGTAAAAAGAAAAGAATATGAGAGGAAAATCGAAAAGTAGAAGAGAAAGTCAACCGAGAAAAATATTTTAAAAAGTGACATCCAACCTTCTTGGTAGCAATTGCAAACACAGTTAAGCCTATTTCCACCCTACCAAATTATGTAAGATAATTTCCTTCTTCTGATATAATTTTTAATCAATAAACTTCAGAAATCAACCATTCATTTTTATCAGTTCTCAGTGTAAAGTCCCTAAAGGGTTTCCTTCTTGCCACAGTTAAGTGAATCATTCCAGTTAAATTAGTAATATGGTTGCTAAGTGAATATGACTTCCCCATTGACTTTGCTTGTCAGAAGATCGCAAAAGGTGATCACATGATCCCAGGACACTGCAACCGTCATAAATATGAGTCAGTTGCCAAGCATCTGAATTTTGATCATATGTTTCCAGGACTGCAACAGCTGTAAGTTTGAAAAACAGTCAAGTCACTTTTTCAATGCTATTGTAGTTTCAAATGGTCACTAAATGAATTAAGCTGAGGGCTACCTGTACAAATAGTTTGTAAGGCAAGTTGGAAAAGATAAATCTGAAAAAAAGGAAGTTGCTGCTCACCAAATCTAGCAATATATATCCAGTAGTGGGATTCTAAAATGTTAGCAACCTGTTCTCTGCCCGGTTACTTGGTGGGTGTGGCCTACTTGGCCTCCTGCACCATGGCAGGGGGTGGTGTTTTCACCCTCCCAAGACTCTGAAGGTGTTCCCCGAGCCTCCGGGAGGGCGAAAACTCTCTCCCCAGACTCTGGAGGTCCTCCAGAAGCCGGAAACGAACCCGTTTCCAGACTTCCGGTAGGCCTGTTTTTCGCCCTCCAGAGCCTGAGACTCCAGAGATTTTCCCTGGGCTTCCAGGAAGGCAGAAACAGCTTCCCCCAGGCTCTGCAGGCCTTCCAGAAATGGGCCCGTTTTCGGACTTCCAGAAGGCCCGATGTTTGCCCTCCCATACCCTCCGCACAACTCCTGCACTTACCTGGCATCCAAAACAGGCCGTATGGAGACTCCTGGGAGGGGTGGGGAGGGGACAGTGGTTCCTTCCAACTACTGGTTCACCTGAACTGTTGCGAACCGGCTGAATTCCACCACTGTATATCTCTATATTGTAGTCTTGACTCAGCTTCTTGTGTTGATATGTGATGGTGTTTCTTATTTTTGTGCTTTCAGATAACATTATTTTCCTGAGTGATGCTAAGGATATATTTCCTGAGTCGACTTAAAGAAAAGGAATGAAGCAAATGGGATTTGGACTGAGGGTTAAGCTGTTCTTCATTTTTTCCCTTTTTTCTTCTTTTTATTGTAAGCTTTTCCTAATACCATAATCATGTCTTTGTTGTCTAGCCTGATAAAAATAATTTTTTTGTACAAAAAGAACATGTATTTAATTTCTTGCCCGCTGCAATCAAGAAATTCTTAACAAATCATCGTAATAAATCATCTTGAGAACAATTACATAACAGTAAGCAGTTCCACCACAGATCACTTTTAAAATACAGTAAAAAAAGATGATGACAGCTATAAATCAAAAGCTCCTTAAACAATTCTGCTTTTTATAATTTCCTGAAACTGAATATAATTTTTGCTTTGTTCAGGCTTTTGACATATGAGACATAGACACTTCCCAGAAAATCCTCTTACTGGAGGTGAGAGAGAAAGGTGCATTATTGTTTGTTTCTTTGTTTTGGCTGCTTTGCTAAGTGTGATGCAATGAAAGTTAAATGAGAAGTGCAGCTTTGCTGATTGGCCAGACCCAGAGCCAAATTATTTAGCAGCATTGATGTGCCTTTCAGTGGCAACATAACATTTCTATAGAGCTCTTGTGCTCCCCAAGTTTCGTTGTTCGTTGCAGACATTTCATTACCCGACTAAATAACATCCATGCAACAACCGAACTCGGAGCAGCAAAAGATTTCACAGTTCAGCCCTGAGCTACAGGTATGCTCTTCTATGGCTATGATTTCTAGATTTAAAGTGGGCTCCTCGCGCATATCCAAGGTCAGTTGAGAAGAGGTGCGATTTTGTAAGAGAACTCACTTCTCCAGCAAGCGTTTCCTATGCAACACCTATGTAAATCTCTACACCGTTGTTAAAAAGTCCAGTAAAGCTACAGTGCCATCTGCTAAACTGCCGTAAGTTGAGGCTGGATGCCATGATTGGAAATAGCTCTCTCAAGAGGCTGCTGCTTGCCCTCCACCCTTTCATTCAACTCTTGAGCATAATTTACAGTTGCTTGCAGCTCCCAGATCTTATATCTTATATACTATGTCTTATATAATGTCTTATATACTACGGCAATTCAGCCTGTTTTCTTTTTTTTAATAAGCACACTCAACAGACATGCTAAATATCTACCTTGTTTCCACAAAAATAAGACAGGGTCTTATTTTCTATTGACCCCCCGAAATAAGCTCTTGGCCTTATTTGCGGGGAGGTCTTATTGTTTGTGAGGTGCAGGAGGCCCCTTCACCTTGGCCTGCAGATCAGCTGATCAAGAGAAGGCCGGATGTTCTGTCTCTGGTGCTCTCTTGCTAGTTCTAGCATTGCTGGGCCTGCTGCTCTTTTTGCGGTTGCCACTAAGAGAAGGAATGAGAGAGCGGCCTCCGTTAAGCTGTTCCACGTGGCCGGCAGGTGTATGCGGGGCACCTGGGGCATCTCCCCCCCCCCAGGAAATGTCGGGGACAGGCCACGCGAGTGTTTAAATATTTCAGGGGAGGGATTATTTTAGCGCATGTGCTCAAAAGCCCGATTGGGCTTATTTTTGGGAAAACGGGGTAGTAGGCTTGATATATTTATTTTGGAAAAAAAAATGCATTTGTAAAAATTGACTTACTTGACTTAAGTCTTTAGCGTCGGTACGGCATCNGTATTAATAAATACTCAAATACTCAAATATTGTTAAGTGAGTTTCACCATATTTTACAGGTTGGCCACTCCCACCTGGTCACATGGCCGGCAAGCCACTCCCACAAAGTAGGCCACACCTACAGAAGAGGTTCTAAATATTTTGAAACCCACCACTGGTTTACAGCAATAATAAATCAATCTCAGAAAGTGTGATAGGTTATACAGAAAATGACTGTCCCTTAGATAACCTGGACCTAAATTGAGTAGGACTTTAAATGTAATGAACAACAGTGTATTTTGCCTGTAAGTAGATTGCTTGTCATAATACTTTTAAGAACTGGCACTATGTGGTCTCCTTTTCTGTTTCCCAAGACCAACTTGGCCGATGGATTGACATTTCTAGGCTGGACCAAAACGGTACCCCCAAATATAACACATTTACAAAATTAATATGGAGATAATTGTGTGCACCATAGTTTTAAGATCATATTCTTTCAGAAATGAATACAATTAGCATGTGAAGTGGTCAAAACCCGTTCCTTTCCATTTTTTCAGTCTCTGTGTGCCCTCTGCTTCTTCTGGGAGATTACAATCCCATAATTTCAGGATAGGCATTTCCCTGAAATTACAACTCCTCCTAAGAAGAGTCTAGTTTGGAATCCATTTCAAATCATCCCAAACTGAATACAGGCAGACTTTCAGGCAAGTTGTATCATTTCCTGAAGATGTTGCAGAGAAATAAATCTAAGTGACAACGGGATACTGATAGTAACCACCATGCAGACAGAATAAAGCCCCAAGGGATAGTATGTAATAGCTTATAGTCTGAGGCACAACTGTCTTCAAATAACACCATCTGAATTTTGTTTCTTCCATTCAATCATGTCTGATTCTCAGGGACTGCCTGGACAAGTCCCTGTGGTTTGCTTTGCAAGGTTTTTCAGAAGTGATTTGCCACTGCCTTCTTCCTAGAGCAGAGAGAAAGTGACTAGCCCAAGATCACCTAGCTGGCTTTGTGCCTAAGGTGAGACTACAACTCATGGTCTCTTGCTTTCCAGCCTGATGTCTTAACCGTTATACCAAATTGAAATTTACCTGGGTGCAATTCAAGATGCTGGTTATTTACCTGTAAAGCCGCACAAGGCCAGGTTATTGGCTGGATTTTCTGCCTCCAACCACCTCTGTCCCCCACCCCCAGAACTAGTAGAGTTGGCATGCTTCAGGTCCCATCTATTACTATCTTTTTGTGGGACCACCTAGGAGTCCTGCCTTCTCTGTCATTTCATGTGAGCTGCGGTGGCGCAGTGGTTAGAATGCAGTATTGCAGGCTACTTCTGCTGCCTGCCGGCTGCCTGCAATTTGGCAGTTCAAATGTCACCAGGCTCATCCTTCCAAAGTGGGTAAAAGGAGGACCCACATTGTTGCGGGCAATATGTGGACTCTCTAAACCACTTAGAGAGGGCTGTAAAGCGGTAGCTAAATTTAAGTGCTATTGCTATATGCCCTTTGAAACAGTCATCCCCTGGAGATCTAGTTAATCCCCATCTCTTGCTCTTTTGTAAGGCATTAAAGACTTGCAGGTTTCTTCATACATTTGGCCCAGAAAGTTGAGGGAGACCTGATGGCTGACTGTTTAATTGCTGTTTTTATGATAATGTGGAATCCTAAAGGTGTTTTTTTTTCCAAAAGCATCTAGATTGTCTTTGTTTTTCCTTGAAAATGTTTTGCTTCCTTGAAGTGAAATGACTTCAAGGAGAAACAAAGTCATGTGCGCACAGTGCACATGCAGTGAACCAGTACCAACCGGTACAGGAACCCACTCCTGCTGTCCACCACTAAAACCATATTTCCAAGCAGCCACTATGTTTCCAATATCTTTTCCCCCACTTGGAACGGAACCCAGATGGACATTTCTTCCAACACTAAATCAAACATTGTTCACCAGGTGGATCAAAGCAGTCTCAATCCTTCAGCTCCTCCTGAAACCAGTTTGAAATCGGTTAGAGTCTCTGCTTCTTCCAGCACCTCCTGAAGTTGAAAAACCATAACTCCTTCCTCAATTATGGAGGGTTAAAGGCTTTCTTACTAGTTTCCATCTTTGAAAAACAAACAAACAGCAGAGTCTGGGTTGAATGACTGTTATACATTTTCTCATTGTCCTTCAAGAAAAAATAAATGTGGTTTATGTTTTGCCATGTACAGTATGTATAGCAACTGCAAAAACCTGAAACATAAATTTCAACTATTGAGACAAAATCTGCAGCTTGATGTTGTGCACATATATTCATCTTGAACTTTCAGAATTCTTCCACAGCATAACAAAGAAAGAACTGTCTTAACAATTCTGGGAATTGGTCCAAAACATATTGAGGACACCATATCAAGAAAAGTTGTGATACAGCCTAAGCCATTTTCTGTTTTTAAAAAATGAACAAGTTTACAATCAGTCATTTTATTCTCCTTCCTATTGTTTTGTTTACAATTTTACGTGACAAGAGTTCTAGGAAGTTGAAAATATATAGCTAACCTTTATGAAGTTTTACTTTTATATTCTTTACTTGCTCCAAATATCCTGTTTTCACAGGATATGGGTGCAGTTATTTAAATAGTGTTGTGTTCATAGGGCTTACTCCTAAATACATATGCATAAGATTTGAGATATTATCAATATCTAAGACAATATTTTATTACTAGATATCCACGCTTTGCAGAATGATCTACTTCTGCTCTTTATTTCCTTTGCTAAGTTAGTGCAAACCTGAGCAAACAGTCCCTAAATGAGGCAGTCGCTAAACAAGGACTACCTAGAGAAACTTGTCTAGCTCTCTGCTGCATTCTGGATCTTTTGCAACCCAAATCCTGCAGCCCTGTGATTTGCACATATTCCAGCAATTTTTTCCAACTGTCCCTCCAAATGTCTTGGACATTGCAATCCGATTATTGGAAGAAATATCCATTTGATTCAGTTCCAAGCTGGAAGAAAAGACACTGGAAACATGGAGGCTGATTGGAAAGATGGTTTAACGATGAACAGAACTACCAGCAGTCCTGGGTCATCAGAACAATTGGTTTGATGAGTAGATGGATTTTTATATAGTTTGTTCTACAGCATTTTGTAATTTAGAGGCTTGTTTTGTGTGTATTTTGCTATTTGATTTTAATTAGTTTGCCTTGCTAAGGCTGGCAATAAGTCCAAAGTGCTGACTTCCTTGGATTTTTAATCTTGTTTAACAAAATGTAATTAATCCTAGATGCTGGCTTCCTTGGGATTTTAATCCTGTCTTGAATTGATTACCAAATCTGCATGTTTAAAAGGTGGCCTCCCTAGTTTCTTGAGGAGAGGGAGACTGATTTAACAGATTAACAGAGTTGGAAGGGACCTTATAGGTCATCTAGTCCAGTGTTTTTCAACCATTGTGCCGCGGCACACTAGTGTGCCGTGACATAGTGTAAGGTGTGCCGTGGGAAAAACACTTTATATATAGTCAATATAGGCACAGAGTTAAAAAATTTTTAACATTTTCTAATGGTGGTGTGCCTCGTGATTTTTTTCATGAAAAAAGTGTGCCTTTGCACAAAAAANGGTGGGCACCTCGAGAAGGCAGGGGTTGTCTTGATAATGAGAGGCTATATTTTGCGCGTCAATTATCCTTTGCCCACCATTTGTAAAAATTGGTGAGAATCATTACCATAGAATGCTCTACTTATGGTCTTTGAAGGTTTTTTGAAAGAACTAAAGAAAAAACACCGACACACAACACCCCCCCCCTAAAGTTTCTCAAAAGAAAAGATGAGAAACCACCAACCCAAAAACTGGATTGCAGAAAGCTTATTCAGTGCTTTTTAAAAAAATAATCTGAATGTGATCTGGACTTCCCTTTGCAATGTGCAAGCTTTTCTCCAACAGGAACAGGGTGTTTTTTACACCTGTAATACATGGGGGGGGGGGGAGAGTTTCATTTGCACAAGAGCCAATTTAGCAGCTAAGATGCTGAAATTGGATTGGGGAGATTCAGATGTGAATCCTCATTCAATTAAGCAGCATACTGGATAATTTTAGACCTATCACCCTCCTATTGATCCATTTGGCTTCTTGCTGGGTAAAATACAGGTAGTATTCATTTAGTGACTGTTAAAAATTAACACAGCACTGAAAGAAGTGAGTTATGACCGATTCTCGTCCTTATGACCATTGCAGCATCCTCGTGGATCACGTGATTAAAATCTGGG